TAATGATTCCACATTTGTATACATTGTGAAATGATCACCATAGTAATTTTAGTTACCATCTGCAACCCAAGTTACCATTTCTTTTATGATAGGAACTTTTAAGATTTTCTTAGCATCTTGCAAGTTTGAAATGCAATATTATTGACTAGTCACCATGCTGTGCATACATCCTTATGACTTCTTTATTCTATAACTGGAATTTTGTACCTTTTGAACCTCTTCAACCCATTTTGTCTACCTTCCTCAACACCTTCCCCTCTGGCAACTGCCACTCTGTTCTGAGTTTGGCTTGGTCTGATTTTGTTTATTCATGTGTTTATTAGATTCAAAATATAAGTAAAATCATGCAGTATTTCTCTTTCTCTGTGTAACTTATTTCACTTAGCATAATAACCTTAAGGGCCATCCATGTTGCCACAAATGACAACATTTTATTATTTTTTTTTATGGCTAAGAGGTAGTCCATGTGTGTGTGACATCTTTCTCTCTCACACCACATCTTCTTTATCCATTAATCCATCAGTGGACACTTAGGTTGTTTCCATACCTTGGCTATTCTAATAATGCTGCAATGAACATAAGGGTGCGTGTGTCTTTTCAAATTAGTGTTTTCATATTCTTCAGATAAATACCCAGTGATGGAATTATTGAATCATAGGGTAGTTCTATTTTTAATTTTTTGAAGGACCTCCACACTGTTTTCCTTTGTGCCTATACCCAGTTACGTTCCCAGCAACAGTGCACGAGGGTTCCCCTTTTCCCCACATCCTTGCCAGCACTTCTTATTCCTTTCATTTTCATCATTTTCATAATAGCCATTTGGACAGGTGTGGGTTGATCTCATTGTGGTTTTGATTTGCATCCCCTGATGATGAGTGATTCTGAGCATCCTTCATGTGCTTGTTGACCATCTGTATGTCTTCTTTAGAAATGTCTATCTGGACCCTCTGCCTATTTTTTTAATTGATTTTGTTACTGAATTTTATGGATTATTTATATATTGGGGGTATAAACTCCTTACCAGATACATAATTTGCAGGTATTTTCTCTCATTCCTTAGGCTGACTTTTATTTAGTTGATAGTTTCCTTCTCCATGCATAAGCTTTACAGTTTGATGCAGTCACATTTATTTTTGCTTTTATTGTTTTTGCCTTTTGGGTCAGATCCAAAAATATATATATATCATCAAGACCAATGTCAAGGAGCTTACTGCCTATGTTTTCTTCAGTAATTTTATAAATTCTGGTCTTGCATCCAAGCCTTTAATCTATTTTGAGTTACTTTTTGTATATGATATAAGATAGTGGTCTAGTTTCATTCTTTTGCATGGGGCTATCCAGTTTTGCAAATAGTATTTATTGAAGGGCTTGTCCTTTCTCCATTGCTTACTTTTGGCTCCTTTGTCATAAATTAATTGACCATATATATGTGGGTTTATTTGTGAGCTCTATTCTATCCCATTGATCTATGAATCTGTTTTTATGTCAATACCGTACTATTTTGATTATTACAGTTTTATAATATAGTTTGAAAGCAGGGTGCATGATGCCTCTAACTTTGTTTTCTTTCTCGAGATTGCTTGGTTATTCACACTTTTTCCTCCATACAATTTTAGCATTGATTGTTCAAATTTTATGAAAAATCTCACTGAAACTTTGATAGGCATTTCATTGAATCTATTGATTGCTTTGAGTAATATGGACATTTTAACAACATTAAGTCTTTCAAACCATGAGCACAAAATATTTTTCCATTTATTTGTGTCTTCTTTGGTTTCTTTCATCAATGTCTTACAATGTCTAATATACAGGTAGGTCTTTCACCTCCTGGTTGAATTTATTCCCAGATGTTTTATACCTTTTGATGCAGTTGTGAATGGGATTGTTTCCTTAATTTTTTTTTCTTACAGTTCATTGTTACTGTATAAAGTGCAACAGATTTTGTGTACTGATTTTATATCCTACAATTTTACTGTATTTGTTTATTAGTTCCAATAGTTTTTTGGTGGAGTATTTTAAGATTTTCTCTATGTAGTATTATGTCATCTGCAAATAGTGACAGCTTTATTTCTTCCTTCTAATTTGGAAGTCTTTTATTTCTTTTTATTGCCTAATTATTCTGGCTAGAACTTCCAGTACTATGTTGAGTAAAAATAGTGAGAATGGGCACACTTGTCTTGTTCCTGATCTTAAAGGAAGGCTTTCAGCTTTTTACCATTGAGTGTGATGATAGCTATGGGTTTGTCATATATGCTTTTATTATATTGAGGTACAGTCTATCTATACTCACCTGTTGAGAGTTTTTATCTGAAATGGATGTTGAATTTTGTCAGGTGTGTTTCTGCATCTAATGAGATGATCCTATGAATTTTGTCCTTCATTAGTGCGGTGTATCACCTTGATAGATTTGTGGATGTTGAACCATTCTTGCATCCGTGGAATAAATCTCGCTTGATCATGATGCATGATCCTTTTGACATACCGTTGACTTCAATTACCTAACATTTTGTTGAGGATTTTGCATCTATATTCTTTAGGGATATTGGCCTGTAATTTTCTTTCTGTGTGTCCTTTTCTAAGTTTGGTACCAGGGTGAGGCTGGCCTCATAAAATGAGTTTGGGAGCATTCCCATCTCTTCAATTTGTGGACAAGTTTGAGAATGAGAAGTACCAAATCTTTGACTGTTTTGGTAGAATTCACTGGTGAAGCTCTCTGGTCCTGGACTTTGGTTTGTTGGGGGTGTTTGATGACTCGACTCAATCTCCTTATTAGTAATTTTTATTTTCAGATTTTCTATTTCTTCATTATTCTGTCCTAGAAGATTGTATTTTTCTAGGAATTTTTCTATTTCTTCTAGTTCGTCCAATTTGTACAATTTTTCATAGTAGTCTTTTATGATTTTTTCTTTGTATTATTATTTGTTACTATAATTATTTGTATTATTTGTATTTCTTTGGTGTCAGGTGTAACTTATCTGATAACATTCTGATTTTATTTATTTAAAGCCTCTCTCTTTTTTCCTTAGTAAGTCTAGCTAAAGGTTTTTCAGTTTTATTTATCTTTTCAAAGAACCAGATCTTAGTTTCATGGATCTTTTCTATTGTCTTTTTAGTCTCTATTTCATTTATTTCCACTCTGATCTTTATTTTCCTCCTTCTACTAACTTTGAAATTAATTGTCCTTTTGCTGGTTCCTTTAGGTGCGAGGTTAGTTTGTTTGAGATTTTTCTTGTTTCTTGAAGTGGGCCTGCCAACAACTATCTCTCCAATTGTTTCAGATTTCTAGGGCTTGGAGATGCTATCCTCTCGGTCAACAGAGGCAGGCACTCAAGGGGCAACTCCTGTGTTGGCTCTACTTGCCTGCTGGCTTTGGCAGGGCTGTGAGTGCAGCGCATTCAGCTTCCCAGCTCTGGCAGGGATGCAGGGGCAGTATAGGAGTGGGGCACACCCGCTAGTGTTAGCAAGGTAAATGAAGAATGCAAAAATGGCACCAACTTCTATCCATGGACAGATCCTAAAGGGCTCTGCCCCTCTGTGAGACACTTTTAAGATTAACAAATGACTCTTCTTCATGTACAATCTAGGCAATTTTCAAACTGCCGATTTTGTGCTGAGTTACAGGGTGGATGAGTTTGTACATGAGCTCTTAAAGAGTAAAATCTCCAGGGCGCCTGGGTGGCTCAGTCACTTAAGCATCTGCCTTTGGCTCAATGACCTGGGATCCTGAGATTGAGCCCCATGTCGGGCTCCTTGCCTAGCGGGGAGCTTGCTTCTCCCTCTTCCTCTACTTGCCACTCCTCCTGCTTATGCTCTCTCTCTGTCAAATAAATAAATAAAATCTTTTTTTTTTTAAAGAGTAAAATTTCCATTCCCTACAAATTCATGGGTCTCCTGAACCTAAGCCTCATTGGTTTTCAAAGTCAGACTTTTTGGGAACTCCTCTCACTGGTGCAGATCCCAGGAGTTGAGGTGCCTGATATGGGGCACAAACGCCTCATCCTCAGGGAGAAACTCCATATTTTGAGATACCTCCCAATTGTGGGTCACCATACCACATCTGGGGATTTTGGTGAAACCACATTCCTATCTCTTACCTGTCTGGATGTGACTTTTATCCTTTGTTATGAAGGAAACTGTTCAGCTAGCTCTTGGGTTTATTTTTTGGAAGAAATTATGTCATGTGTAGCTGTAGACATGTTGCGTCTGTGGGAGGAGGTGAGTTCAGTTCTGCCATCTTGAACCCCAAATCTCAACCATTTCTTAACAATGCTCTAAAACAGAAACCCACAATTTTATACCTAGCAAAGCAACAGATTCTGTTCAGAATTTCATTTCTGTTGAGTCTCCCTGTGTTTCTTCAAGAGCTCAGTTGTCTCCAAAAAGCTAAGCAGGAGGTTCTTAACTTCTAGGTCCATGTTAGTTAGGAGCAGATTTAGTCTCATCCATGTCACATAACTTGGCACTGTCCTTCTTTCTCTGAAACATAGCACAACAAAAAGTTTTTTCCAGATTGATTTCTCTCTTTTGATAGGCGGGGAAGGCAGGTATACTCTGGTGCCAACCAATGGGCACCAGGGAATGCAATTCAAGTCACGTATGTCTTGTCCCAGGGAAAAGGCAGTAACTTGATTATTTATGCACTCCAGAAGAACTGGAAGTGCATTTTATAACCAAATAAAGGTGAGCACAAGCATTCATACACACTAAAAGGAGGACAAAAAAATGGACTATACACTGTTACCTGTTTTGAAGGAAACGTGAAAGAAACTTCATGAAGGAGGATGTTTTTGTTTTGTTTTGTTTTTTCATGTATACTAAATTTTGGCTCTTAGAATCCCTAAGAAATAACTATTTACTGCCCAACTCAAAGGTGCAGAGGTCTTCAAGTTTCTTCTTGCTTTCTCAGTGACACAGCTCCATTCAGCAAATGTGGTTATGATTTAAATGATGATTTCCCAGTCTCATTATTTCACCTTGCATTTTTCCTTTGTTCTTGCCAGGAAGCAGAATGTGCCTACACACTCTTTGTCATTGCCATATTTTGGCTTACAGAAGCTTTGCCTCTGTCAATAACAGCTTTACTGCCTGGTTTAATGTTTCCACTTTTTGGGATCATGACTTCTAAGAAGGTAAGTCCTCTTGCAAATGTTTGTCATAATTAGGTTCCTAATTTTGTGCTGATACTGCCATTGAGAAAAGCTGTATTGAAAGGGAACAAGAGGGGCACCTGGGTGGTCAGGTAGTTGAGGGACTAACTCTTTGATTTCAGCTCAGGTCATGATCTTGGGTTCATGAGATCAAGCCCCGTGTGAGGCTCCACCCTCAGTCGGGAGTCAGCTCTAGAGTCTCTCCCTCTGCCCCTCTTTCTGCTCTCTCTCTCTCTCTCTCTCTCAAAATAAGTAAATCTTTTTTTTTTTTTTTTAAGAGAAAAATAATCCTGTTGAGAAATGCATGTCTTGCCTTTCCAGGCTGATGTCTATGCCTGGTGACTCCCTCCCAACAAAAGGACCAACCTTTCACATCCTGCATTAGCTTTTTCTTTTCAGCAGAATTCGGTCTCGCACAGTGTTAGAAAAGCAATTTTTGTTTTTAATGAAGAAAAAGCTACCCTGTTTTCTTTTCCAGAAACCTGCCATTTCAAAAGATAAAGTCAAATTAACTTTCATGTGTATTTCTGTTTTGTTCTTGCTGAGAGGAGTTTATTCATGCTGAGCAGTGTTTTTTACCTTTATACAATCTGAGGGTACCCGTCTGAGGAAAATGGATTCAGTTTCTCATTAAAAGCATGAAATGCATTGAAATCAGAATATCTATCTTCATGCAGTCTCCAGCTACCCAGCACACAACTGCCTAAACCACAGCTGAAGAAGTCTCAGGAAAGATGCCAAGTTCAAGATGCCAGTCCCTGCAATTTATCACTTTTGGACTTCTATCTTCTGCCAGAGTCCATACTGCTATCTTGAGGTTCATCTGTCTTGTAATGTGGGTGGAGATTTTTCCAACTAACTAACCCATGATACCAGGTTTTTTTGTTCTGTGTGAGAAAGTATTCTTTTCCTTCTCTTCATATCATTCTTCCTCATTTTGTAGTTCAAACTATCTTTTTGCATTTCAGATCCATTTTGCTCCTCTTTTCTTTCTGCATTTTTCCTTCCCTTGTAATCTTGACTCTTTTCTTTCCCACTGATTGGGAAGAGAGAGTAGCCAGGGCTGACACTCAGTCCCAGTATCTGGGCTCTATAACTGAAGAAGTTTTTCAAATGCTCCAATAGGCTACATGGATCTTAGTAAAGGAATTTTTATTTTATTTTTTTAAAAGATTTTATTTATTTATTTGATAGGCAGAGATCACAGGTAGGCAGAGAGAGAGGAAGGGAAGCAGGCTCCCTGCTGAGCAGAGAGCCTGATGTGGGGCTCCATCCCAGGACCCTGGGATCATGACCTGAGCTGAAGGCAGAGGCTTTAACCCACTGAGCCACCCAGGCGCCCCAGTAAAGGAAATTTTAAAAGAAAGGATTGGAAGATGTGGTCCATATACACTATGGAGTATTATGCCTCCATCAGAAAGGATGAATACCCAACTTTTGTAGCAACATGGATGGGACTGGAAGAGATTATGCTGAGTGAAATAAGTCAAGCAGAGAGAGTCAATTATCATATGGTTTCACTTATTTGTGGAGCATAACAAATAGCATGGAGGACAAGGGGAGTTAGAGAGGAGAAGGGAGTTGAGGGAAATTGGAAGGGGAGGTGAACCATGAGAGACTATGGACTCTGAAAAACAACCTGAGGGTTTTGAAGGGACGGGGGGTGGGAGGTTGGGGGAACCAGGTGGTGGGTATTGGAGAGGGCACGGATTACATGGAGCACTGGGTGTGGTGCAAAAACAATGAATACTGTTATACTGAAAATAAATTAAAAAAATTAAAAAAAAAAAAGAAAGGATTGGCAAGTTCTCAAAAATAATGTGTCAAGTTATTAACCCCTGTTCTGCTGGCTTAGGTGGTTTTACCTCCAAAGATAATTCAGTTCAACAGTGACATATTTGTCTCTTATGATTTAATAACAATAAAATTGACTTTTTAATAGAGGCTGAGATAGAAGCAAGATTAACTAGAATTGCGGTGTTTCTGTAGCAAACAGGCTAGAGGAAGACAGGAGAAAAAGGGTACCTAGGAAAGCCTGGCTTTGTGAGAACTGCCAAACCTTTGCCTCTTTATAGGATGTGGACCCCCAACTAGAGGCAGCAAAATTCTAAGTACCTTCAGCAGTTGCATGACTCAAACTGCTGGTACCTGTCCAAGAGTCCTTCATCCCCCAGAAGTGTCGGCCTCAGACTAAATTAACAGTAATAGAATCTTAGACTTTAGAAGCACATTCTTCTGGTCATTTTGTCCTAGGGCAGATTCCTCCTCCCAATATTTCTTATAGATGAGATCACTCAGGAAATGATTAAAGACTTCCTGTGTATGGGCCCAGAAAGCCGCACAAGGAAATAAGAATCATTTTTGAGAACTTTTAATACTTAAGTTTAATACTTTTACTGAGCACCTTGTTGTATTAAAGAATATCAACAAATATTGAATATCTCTCATATCCATTGAATAAAATCTGAAATGTTAAATATTTAGTGTGCTCAATTAGATATTCCAAAACAAATATCATTATTATTATTGTCATTGAAAATATGTTTATGTGTAAATTTTACACATATAAATGTGGAGGTACACATATGTATATGCAGATGTTATAGTACATATTTACGCAGTCATTCCATAAATATTTATGTTCTAGGACTCTGCTAGGCTCTTGGGAATATATCAGTGAATAAATACAGACAAAAGTCCTTGTCTTCTTAGGAGAAAAGAGACAATAAACAACCTTAATGTCTAGGTAAGTTACAGTGAGTTAGGAGGTAATTGGTGTTATGCAAAAATGCAACAGGATAATGAAGATCAGGAGAGAGTTGCAGTTTAAACAGGATGATCAGAGTAGACCTCAATGAGCTGTCAATACCTGAACAAAGACTTACAGGAAATGGGGGAGTTAGTCCTGTGGCTATCTGGAGAACAACCATTGCTGAGGGGCAAATACCCACCACAAAGACTTCAAGGGAGTTATATGTCTGCAGTGTGACTAAAGCAAAGTGAAGGGGAGAATGACAGAAGGTGATGTCAGGGAGATAATTTGTAGAGGGACTAGACCATCTAGGGCCAAAGTAGGCCACTGTAAAGTTTTAACTGTCAATGAAATGAGACCCTCTAGAGATTTTTGAGTAGAAAAGTGACATGATCAATTTGATTTTTATTTAAAAGGATAATTGGGACTGCTGTGCTGAGAAACAAAGCAGAAAGAAGGAAATGGGTAGCAGGTTATTGCTATAACCCAGTGGAGAGGCCATTGCAATTCAGACCAGGGATAGTAATGGGGATATGGAATATATTGTTAATGTATTTTTAAGATAAAATGAACAAAATTTCCTATATGATTTTATATGGCATATGATGGGGGGTAAGTGGGAGGATTCAAGGATGCCTCAGAACTTTTTGACCTGGCAGCTGGAAAAATGGAGTTGCCATCAGTTGAGATGGGGAAAACTATGGGCAGAGTAGGCTTGTTGCAAAGGAGAGGCTGACACTGGGAGTACAAAGTTTGACACTACGTTTGAAATAACTATTTGATATCTAAGTGAAGGTGTTGACTAGGCAGTTAAGTACAAATGAGTCCAGATCTCACGAGATAGAGCTGAGCTGGAAATATCGGTTTGAGGATCATCAGCAGATGGGTGGTATTGAAAGCTCTAAAATGTGATGAGGTGATTTAGAGAGTGAGTGAAGATTTAAAACAACAACAACACTACAAAGAAGACAAAGAAATGTGCTCTGGAAAAGGACAACATTCAGGGATTGGTCAGAAGAGAAAGCACTAGCGAAGAAGAATGAGAAGGATAGGTTATTGAGGTAGGAGGAAGGCCAGGAGAGTGTGGGATCCTGGAATCCAAGTTTAGAAATGTTTTAAGGATGAAGCAATGATCAAATGTGTCTAATCTACTAATAGGTCAATTAGTGTGAAAACTGGGAATCAACCATTGGAATTAGCAATGAAACATAAATATTTTTAAAACAACAAAATATATATGATATAATTCTAATCATGTGCATTATAACTGACTTTTCTAAAAAATCTCATTTGATTCACAAGCTTGATGTGAAGTATTATTGAACTTTAATGGATAAATGTATTGACTTAAAGAAAGGTTGTGAACTGGTACATTTTATAGCTAAGAGAGAACCCAGGCACTCTGATTGCACAAGTGCATGTTTTTTGATGAAATCCCATTTTGAAACAGAAATATGACTTCAAATTTCATTAGGAATTTTGTTTGACATGCTTATTTTGCCTCAAAAATAGTTATAATTATCAGTGTTATTTATAAACCAGTACCATTTTTCTCTTATTATCTCCTATGTACATAAGCTATAAACAAACACATATGGTTCTGACTAATGTGCTACAAATATACTAACTCTGATGAAACCCAAAGAATAGGTACTACAATGGGAAACAAAGAATGTGAAAATTCCTCCTTAGGTTTATAATTGATTTCATTTAGAGAGTTGGGCTGCAGGCCATTTTTTGTTTACATAGTCCATTAAGAGACTGGCAAACTATGAATCTGAGAGCCAAATCTAGCCGGCTACCCAATTTTTAAAATAAAGTTTAATTAGAAACATACAAAGCCATGGTCATTCATTTACATACTGTCTTTGGCTACTTTTTATGCTACAAAGACAAGTTGAATAGTTGCAATGGAAACAATAAGGCTCACAAAGTCTAAAACATTTATTATCTGACCTTTTTACAAAATCTGCCAACTGCAAACATAATCTGAAGAGATTACAACAAGAATGTCTCATGGTCCTGGACTTCTTCTGTGTTTAATCACTTACTAATAATTGCTTGCTTCTATGCATTCCTTTGCATTTTTTAAAAAAAGCTTTTATTTATTTATTTGGGAGAGAGAGAGAGAGCATGAGAGGGGAGAGGTCAGTGGGAGAAGCAGACTCCTTGCCAAGCAGGGAGCCTGATGTGGGACTTGATTCCAGGACTCCAGGTTCACAACCCGAGCTGAAGGCAGTCACTTAACCAACTGAGCCACCCAGGTGCCCCTGAAAAAATATTTCTCACACACCCATGATACCTTACTGCAGTCTTTATTAACTTGTTTTTTGCATGTAATAACCTGTAAGCCCCTTGAGTCGAGGGACTTACTAATTCAGTATCTAATGCATGCGAGTATGTGCCAGGAATGTGCTAAATCCATAAATACAATGATCAGTAAGACACACCTCTGCCTTCAAAATATGTCTTATCCAATAAAGGGGATAATTAAGTAAATAAATGATCTCTATATAGATGAGGATGTGCTCTCACAAAAGGAGAACAAAGTGGACAATTTAAAATATATAGGGAAACAGGACGTCTGGGTGGTTCAACGGGTTAAGCATATGACTTGGGCTCAGGTCATGATCCTGGAGTCCTAGGATCAAGTCCCCCATCAGGATCCTTGCTCAGCGGGGAGCCTCCTGCTTCTCCCTCTGCCTGCAGCTCCCTCTGCCGCCTCCTTGTTTTCTCTCTCTCTCTGACAAATAAAGAAATAAAATCTTTAAAAATAAAATAAAATAAAATATATGGGGGAACTAGAGAAAATAGGACTTTGTGACTAATCCACACATACTGGAAGTGAGAAAGGAAGCATAGCTGACTCTTAGCTTTCTAACTTGGGCAACTAAGTAGATGGAAAATTTCATTTGCCACAAAAAAGAATATGTTGAATGTTTAGATGTTTGTGGGAAATTCAAATGGAAATGTCCAGCTGGATATACCAGACTAACCTGTTTGGATACAAAGATTTTAGTGTCTTCAGCTTTCATTCAGCAAATACGTATTGAATGCCCACTGTGTGCCAAACATTATTTTAGTCACATAGAGTTAGAAATTGAATCTGTAAGATTCAATCTTCAGGTGCACAAAACAAGAAGATTGGAGACAAAACCCTGTAGAATACCAACATTTCAGAAAAGGGCAGAGGAAAAATAATTTTCAATGTAGACCAAGAAGAAAAATTTGGAGAGGCGGTGATAGACCTAGGGAGGAAAAAAAAAGTAGTTCATAAGTCTGTAAACACTAGTAAACTAATAATTTGAAATAATACTTACACTGAAAGTAATGATCGAGAGAGTTAGGAAGAAGAAGTTTGGGAACAGAGTGTAGACAATTCATATTTGTGATCTCTCTACTGATTTAGGAGCTCAAAGACCATAGCTTATTCATTGAGTCCCTTCCTCCCTCTCTCATTCATCCAGATTTATTTACTGAGCTCCTCTTCTGTACCAGGACTGTACTAGGTGCCAAATATGCAATGACTAGCAAAACAGATTCCTGGCTCTCTTAGAATGTATAGTACATTACAAAAGACATGCAACAAGCTGATAAGCGCACTATTTACATATTATAACATTCTACAAAGGACACCAAGAGGGCTCTATAATATAGAAAAATAGTAGAAACTATTTTAAAAATCTGGATATTTGAGAATTGAAGAGGTGTGAAGAGGGAAACACATGTCAGGTGTTTATCATCGCATTGTCTGTTCATATAACAGTTTCAGTGCATGTTTAATACTTACCCAGTGTTAGAGTAATTAATAAGAGAAATAATAAGGAAATTGATAGAATTATTTTCTATTATGCAGTACCATAAAATGTAAAGAAGTAAATACAAACTGTGAAAAACAAAATAAATTAACTTTTCATAAAACATAATGAAGAGATCCACTTGTCCACTTTTAATTCCAAAGCTAATTTTTACTTTCTTTTTAAACCAAGCCAAGTTTAGTAAACTATATTAAAAATGCTAATACAATTTAAAATAACAAAATTATTATGAGAACTGATTTTTCTTTTTTTTTTTCCCCTAAGATTTTATTTATTTATTTAACAGAGAAAGAGATCACAAGTAGGCAGAGAAGCAGGCAGAGAAAGAGGGGGAAGCAGGCTCCCTGCTGAGCAGAGAGCCCATTGCCCGGGGCTCAATCCCAAGACCCTGAGATCATGACCTGGGCGGAAGGCAGAGCCTTAACCACTGAGCCACCCAGGTGCCCCAGAGAACTGATTTTTCTACTCCTTTGTGATTTCATATTGGAATAGTTACTTCTCAACTCTTCCATTCCTTTAACCAGATTTTTTTTTTTTTTAAGAGATATTTCCTCTTATAATACACTCTTTTCAGCACAGCCTCGTGATTCAGTTTAGGTTCTGAAGTCAGGTCTCTTAAATATCAGTCTCCTAAAGTACTATACCTAAACAATTAAAAATAAGGTTTCTGTGGTTAGATAATTTTGAAAAATGTGGTATGTGAAATTCTACTCTGTGAGTGGCAATGCCTGTTCATATTTAAAGGTTTTGAGGAGACCTATAGGAAAGAAAATTCTAGTATTTCAAGACTCTATGCTTTGTAAACTTACTTGACCACAAAATGTTGTTGTTGTTGTTTAAGAAAAAGATTATGTACCTAACATACTTCAGAGCATTCTTTGGTAAATAGATTGATCCAAAGTGTCTGTACACTCTACTAATCTCTGAATGGTGTTAGCTAAAAATGGCTTAAAACATTGGCTCCTATTCAAGGGTATTTATTTTAATAGGAAATAATTTTGAAGGTAAAGCCATTTGAAGTATTTAGGAGTGACACTACATTTGGGCAAAATAGATGGTAACAAAGACACTGGCGGTTTGGAGACTCAACTTGGACTTTCCCAAATCACAGTCACTGCTGTTCTACCGCAACAGCATATACCAGTTAACCCTGGTTTGGAGATGGAAAAATTAAGGCATTGAAGGCACTTGCCTGACGTTACACAGCTATTTCAAAACCCAATATGTTGTGTACTTTTTTTTGGTATGTATTTTCCCTTAACACTCCTATTTCCGGGTAAACACATAGAACAAAGTTAAATTTGTATTGTTCATATATCTACATTTTTCTTAATAGAAAGATTAAGTAGTTTAAAGGTCAAAGTTAAGAGTAGCAAAATAATGCTTTCTGGGGCAATATTATTTTTCCCCCCACCAACATAAGTAATCATGGGTTTAATCATAAATTTCAGGTGGCATCTGCTTATTTCAAAGATTTTCATCTACTGTTAATTGGAGTCATCTGTTTAGCAACATCAATAGAAAAATGGAATTTGCACAAAAGGATTGCCCTGAGAATGGTGATGACGGTGGGTGTGAACCCAGCATGGTAAGTACTCCATTTACTCTTCCAGGTTTACTTTCCAAACAGATCATATTTTTGCAGAGCAAATATCTAAATAAGTAAGGCACATCCAGGCAAGCATTCACATCACAGTAAAATTCATGCTTTTCTTTCCTTTGCAAATATGAAAAGGCTATAAAGTGCACTGGAGTTGTAGGAAGAAACAACAACTTTCGGGTCTAATTACAGGTAGATTGGAATAAGTGCACACACATCTTTCATGCACAGTAGGAGCCAAAGCTGAGAGAAGTCTCGAACCCCAACAGACAAGATGCTAGACTTCAGAGTAGATTTCAGTTGTATCTGGTTTATTTGGCTGATTACACATTCAAGACTTGTTCAAGAGCATTCTTCATCATGCGGAGGATGTTAAGAACCAAAGACAAAGACATTACTGACAAAATACAAACGTGTGCAGAAACATTCCAAGGTGAACATTTTTCTTTTTAAATGAACTGTTGCAAACTGAAGCAATTGGTTAAGAGATTTCATCTACAGAATGCGACATCACTCAGTTGACTAACTTTCCCCACTGAAATAAATGCTTTTTTCCATTACATTAATTGGCTACTTTAGTTTTAGATCTAACTCTTGTTAAGAACATAGATGTGAGCTAAAATATATATACATATATGTTTCCAGTGTCATAAACACTTACATGATAGTGTTAAGCTCTAAAGTATTAAGTGGTTCTTCCCTTCTCATTTTCTTTGAAAATAAGAAAATTTTACCGAATTATGTTGCATGATTCATTCTAGAGTATATCTACATCTGTGTTGATCATTTATGAATCAAATAGTTTCATTAAATACAAAGAATAACTCAGATGAGAAATTTTTAAAATATTTGCTACTTTAAATGTTTATAACATGAATGTGTTAAGGAAATTCTGCTCTTGAAATGAAATTGTATTCCATGCCCCTTGGGGTGCTATAGATATGTGTATCTTTTCCTTGACCATCTGCTCCTGACCACAGGGGATGGGATAGTAAACCATGCAGTGAAGCAAGAGTCCTGTCCTTTATATCACTGAGTGGCTTTGCAACTTAAGGCATTTTCACCACACAGAAAGTGTGCTCACTATCTTTTTTTTTATAGGACGATTTCATGTCTTGCCAATGCCTTAAATCAAAAGTATTTCTAGTTTACTTTTTTAAAAGCTTCTTTAATTTATTTTTCTCTTTTCTAGATTTTTTTAAATTTAATTTTATTTTTTAGTGTTCTAAGATTCATTGTTTATGCACCACACCCAGTGCTCCATGCAATACATGCCCTCCTTAATACCCACCACCAGGCTTGCCCATCCGCCCACCCCTCTCCCCTCTAAAACCCTCAGTTTGTTTCTCAGAGTCCACAGTCTCTCATGCTTCGTCTCCCCTTCTGATTTCCCCCCAATTCACTTTTCCTTTCCTTCTCCTAATGTTCACTTTTTCTTGACAATCATTTCCTGTTTAAACAGATATCTAAAGAGTTTTATTTTGTTTTACGTGTAGAAATTATTCACCCGATCTGAACTTGAAATTTATAGTGTAGAATTTTGTCTTGTAGATCTACTTTTTTTCTTTTCTTTTCTCTTCTTTCTTTTCTTTTCTTTTTTTTTTTTTTTTGTTATTTCCCTTTTTTTTTTTTTTTTTTTAGAAAGAGAGAGAGATCACAAGTAGGCAGAGAGGCAGGCAGAGAGAGGAGGAAGCAGGCTCACTGCTGAGCAGAGAGCCCGATACGGGGCTCGATCCCAGGACCCTGAGATCATGACTGGAGCCGAAGGCAGAGGCTTAACCCACTGAGCCACCCAGGCACCCCTGTAAATCCACTTTTAAAGGGAGTCATAGAATTTCATAAGTGGCTGCATATGGAAAGATGTGCTTCTGAATATTTTGGCATCTCCTACTCAAAAGAGATCAAATTTTTTTTTCCCGAGTATGATTTTTGAAAGCTTCTAGATATGGTTTAAAATCCTACAGTCTTAGGTGTTATTTTTAAGGGAGAAGAAGTACTTTATTTATAAGAGAAGACAATGTAATATATCTAGTCCTTGACCACAGGCAAGAATGTCAAATTCAGGAAAGCATAAATAATAGAACCTACAGAAAATTTTGAAACCTCATTTTTGCTAGTCATTTTAACCATTTCCTCCACCTACCATATATTGAACCAGAGGAGTCAACAGTAAAAAGTACATTTATAAATAATTTCTCTCCTTGCCCTCATGCCTCCTTGACCCACATACTAATAAACAGAGATGTGACCAAAAGATAAAAAAAAGAATAAGGGACCCTAAATTGAAAAACTGATTGCATTACATCTTACTAGTATTTCAAGGGATGCGTCATCTGTAAAGGGCATTCAAATATTGGTGTAATACTACAAGCTATTCTACCATCTACTGACTTGCAGTTTGGTAATACACGTCATCATTTTTCTGTTTTAAGTAAGATAGTTTACGGTTCCAGGGAAACAAATCTAATAAGAATACCACTCTTCCATGTGCTGCTCTGATTCCTATCTGGCTCTGACTGTCCTCAGGGTTCACCCTCAGAGAGGAACCCTAACTTAAGTGTGTTTTGAAAAAATTCCCAACTTACAAACAGCATTCTTTACAGTTAACTAATACAGAGCAGTTAAGCTGGAGAGCACAGCTCATATTAAAGGCCCTCTCATTTCAGGCTGACACTGGGGTTCATGAGCAGTACCGCCTTTTTATCCATGTGGCTTAGCAACACCTCCACGGCTGCCATGGTGATGCCCATCGTTGAGGCTGTGGCACAGCAGATCATCAGCGCCGAAGCCGAGGTCGAGGCCACTCAGATGACTCGTATCAGTGGATCAGTCAACCATGGACTGGAAATTGATGGTATCACATGTTGAGATGCTGCAGTGGGGTCTAATCATTTGGGCAGTAGGCAGAAACTCAAGAATTCTGGCTTATATTTTATTAACTGTCTATATGTGCATGACATGAATTTAACTCTCTCTTTTCTGTATTTCCCAATATTATACATCACCCAAATATTTAACCTTCAATTAATGGTCAAATCTACATTCTCTGGACAAAAAGGAATAATGCCCTTTCTAGCCTCTAGTCAGTCTGATGGAACTCTCTCTCTCTGTCCCTCTCAGTAAACCCGAGGTTACTCTTCCATACTGAACTAACATAATAATAGTGAAAATGGGCATAATAGTGGGAATCTTTAATTCCTACATTCTGTTTGGAAAGAGCATTACATTTGGCTGTGGTTATTTCTAGCTCTGATAAATTGCCTTGATGTAGTGGAAATGTTGGGGTGATATTTGAATTTATAACGTACTTTATTAAGATGAATGTTATGTCAGTTCAGGTGAATTTGTTTTCTGTTTCTAGTAATGTTTTCATCTTACACACACATATACACACACAGATAACCCTTTAAATTATTTTTCTTTTATTTAATGTTTTGCAGAAGTTGTTGAAACAAATGAGAAGAAAGAGAAACCAATACCAGTTCCAGGGTAAAGAATATTGACATTTTGATTAGGATTTTCTAAATTACATTTTAATACAATTATAAACTCGGTCAATTTATTTTTCAGATACAGTAATGATGCAGGAAAAATTTCAAGCAAGACAGAGCTAGAAAAGGTACATTAATGTGATTCTTTCTAAATAATTATACGTGAAATTATATTAGATCTTCAGTTAGAGATGTAGGCATTTTATTTTTTATTTTTTTATTTTTAGAGAGGGAGTGGGGAGGGGCAGAGGGGAAAGGAGAGAGACAATCCAAAGCAGGACCCAAGCTCAGTGCAGAGCCTTTCATGGGGCTCAATCTCATGACCCTCAGATCATGACCTGAGCTGAAATCAAGAGTGTGATGCTTAACAAACTGAGCCACCCAGGTGCCCTGAGAGGTATGCATTTTAAAATCTGTTACTTCCTTCCTTGTCTATAAATTATTTTGCTTGCCTAAGTCAAAGCACAGTGTAAAGGTTTAATAAGCCCTCATAAATAGACATAGGCTAAAATCAACATGCTGATAGAAAACTTTTTAGGCTTTGAAAATAAGCATTTTTTTTCTTCTATACTTAGTTCATGATGATGGGAGTTAGCATATGTAGTTCATGGTAATGGGAGTTAGCATATGTAGTTTAAAGAACTATAATTCCAGTCTCAGAACATTGTTTCATTTTCTTATTAAAATCTTATCAGCTCAATAGCCTGATTTTCATTAAGACTATTCTCATTCCTTTCAGGTTATAAACTTAGAGCAACTCTTATTCATGTAATTACAAACCAGTTATCTTTAGTGTCCCCACTAAAAAAATTCAGTGCAGAATTTATGAATCGCTACTGTCAAATACAGATGGAGGAGTTGTAGTCATTCTAGGTATTAAAGGAAGGAAGGAGACTTTTGTAAACCATCCCATAGAATTCATTTCCCCAGAATAAATCAACATAAAAATTCTATACTATATTGTATTGGGAGTAATAGATCTTGAGTTCACTGAAAAATAATCCTGCATAGAAATAGTTTTCCGGTAGCCATGGCATTAGGAATAGGAGAGTGGGGCATATGTTCCTTCCTCAGGCTATAATGCATTTACATGCAACTCAGTAGGAGAAAGAAAACCCTCTTGTTATTTACAGAAATCTTCAAGGAAAGAGTGACTTCTCTGTAAAGAGAAGACAAATAACAAAGATAAGTTTTAAGCTATTAGCTACAGGGTTTTAACAATGAGAATTGAGTATATTTTTCTGAAAACATTATCTTTAGGAATAGAAGTAATTCTTTTAAAACAGCATGTGAGGTATATTACAGAAGAACACATTAAAAATGAGCTTTAAAAATTCTGAAAATTGGCAAACATAAACAGAAAGAATATACTTGCACTCAGTAACTTTCTCATGGTCATATTTAGAAATCCAGTTTTCTGGCATGATACCTACATTTTGGGTCAAGCCCCTTCAAATCAATTTGACATCCAACACTATCCTCAGCATTATAGGAAGATCCACTGATGAAAAGACCTGCTCCTTCCTGTAGGCAGCTAGAGTCTGGTGGGGAAGATGGGCTTCAAAAATGTGTGACATAAATCCTATAACGAAAGCAGGCACAGAGGCTCAGTCTTCCAAAGGTGGAGCAGGTAGCTCAACCAGGGCATGTTGCAGGAGAGGGTATGAGTGAAAGAGATTTGCGTTCGGGAGGAGAAAGCACACTCACTCAGCAGAGAGCCAACTCCATGCATGCAGGAACCAGGTCTACTTTGTTCACAATCTAATCCCCTGGCACACTTCATGGCCTAACACAGGGTAAGTATTCAGTAGATGTCTATCTTGATTAATTAATTAATGAGTGAAAAGATAAGAGGTAGTCTAATTAGAAAAAGCAATGCGTTCAAAGACCCAGATAGGCAGAGAGCAGGGCTTTTTCAGAAAATATCTCCACTGCAGGTGCTAGGGATGAATTGTGCTATGTGAAATGTCTAGATAGCCTGAGTCGTGTTAAAAATAGTTGGTCATGTCACGCCAAAGAGTTTAGAATTTATCTTAGAGAAAGTAGGAATCTTTGAAACTGGAGAGCAGCATGGTAAATTCTTCCCATTGAGAAACTTACTATGGCAACACTTTGAAGGGCAGAGATTGTAGGTCTAATTGGACTTCTTGATTAATCAGACTTTGAGGACGAGAGAGAGAAAGTATAGAAGATGCCTCCGCTAGACTAAAGTAGGTAAAGATAGGCTGTGATGCCACTGATGGAGATGGGGAACACAGAATGAGGATAAATTTTCAGTGGGGGAAAAGTAAAATAGATTTGGGTACATTTCAGGCAATAAAGATTGAGTTCTGAGTTTAGGAGAAAAGAACAAGCAAGGCCTTTGAACAATGATTCTGTGGTCTTTCTAGAACTCAGTATATAAAATTCAGCTTTGTGTAAAAGAAAAATTAAAGGATAACTATTTATATTGCAAACGTGTTCTTTATTGGAGAGCAGATCAAAGTCTTACTTGCTTTTGGTGTCACATTAAAAAGTGTTGTCAAGACCAATGTTGAGGAGTATTTGCCTGTGTTTTCTTCTTGGAGCTTTACAGTTTGGGGCCTTATGTTTAGGTCTTTAATCCATCTTGAGTCAATTTTTGTGAGCAGTGTAAGATAGAAGTCCAATTTTATTCTTCTGCATGTGGTTATCAAGTTTTCCCAGCACCAGTTATTGAAGAGGCGATCCTTTCCTCACTAAGTATCTTGACTCCTTGTCACATATTGGTTCGCTGTAAATATGAGGATTAATTCCGGGCTCTCAGTTCTGTTTCATTGGTCTATGTGTCTATTTTTAACTAATTCTAGATTGTTTTGATTATATACCTTAGTAATATAATCTGAAGCCAAGAAGTGTGATACCTTCAGCTTTGTTCTTCTTTCTCAGTATTGCTTTGGCTATTCATGGAAATTAATTTCATTTTTGGTGGAAAGAAAATAAGGGTTTGAAGCTGAAATGTATCAGCTCTAAAATTCTTGTTAATAAAACTGCAAATTTCTGATAGAGATGGTAATGATAGTTTTGCCATTGCTGCTGCTGCAGGTGGTGATGATTACATGTTGGTTTTGAAGATGGTGGATAGTCAGTAGTCCCTCAGACTCCAGAAACTGATTTAAGAGTATTCATATTCCAGTGCTTCCTACCTAAAAATAGATGCTTTCCATGACTTGCCAAGTTCTCTTCTTATTATAGACCATGACCCAAACATTAGCAGAGCTCCCATTTGTGTCCAGAATAAGAGTGGTGAGTAGGTACTTAGCCTGTAAAACTTGCATGACTCCAAAAGTAGTTAACATATTTTTTGAAAAGGAAAGGAACAAAAAGAATGGAATATCCTAAAGAGACAGTGGCAGTACAAGGAGAAATATATTTGTCAGTTTCCAGCATGAAGCTCCAGATGACTGAGAAAACAGTCATCATCACTCATATTACTTCCATAAAAAAATGAGTTCCAGATATCTGAAAATCATTTTTTACATGCCAAAAGAATAATCAAGTTGCTAGATTCTTCCCTTCCTCACAAGCACTATAGTATCATTCAAAGAGATATCCCAGATTTTTATACTAGCTCAATTTCTAAAACTCCAGCCATCTTCAAATGAAAGGAATTGGAAAACCAGTTTACTTTTAATGAAAGGTCTAAGGTAATTGTTTTCCATTCATCTTAGATAGTGTGTAGTTCTCCAAGGGGAAAAATTCAAAGGAAAAATGTCCTTGAACAAATTAAATCTTGTTTTTAATTAGTTACTTAGTTTGGGGGTAAAAATGCTTATTTTTGAAAACCAAAATCTGTAAGGAAACACTGTTTAATGTTCTCAAAGAATTGAAAGAACCATATTAACAGTAATAAGCACAGCTCATAATATTATGGTCTAGAGGCATTAATTCTGCCAAGTTAGGGGATATCAGTTCTAGAATATCTGGTGTCCAGATCAGACATAAACAAAAACTTGTTCTTGGTTGCTCTTCCATTCGATACTGGATGAAATTGGATGGCAAATCCAATTATTAGGGCTGTTCAGTCCTCACCTGACACAGCCTAGCTATCTTCTTTCACTCATTCAACCAAACCCTATAGTTTATAGAGAGATAATGATAGAAAAAGAGCAGCATCAAAGTATGAGAGATAACAAGTATTGGCAAGGATGTGGAGAAAGGGGAACCCCTGTGCACTGCTGGTGGCAATGTAAACTGCTTCAGCCACTACAGAAAACAGTAGAGAGGTTCATCAAAAAATTAAAAATGAAATTACTATATGATCCAGCAATCCCACTCTGGAACCTAAAGGAATCGAAAATGAGAGCACAGAGGGATATCTGCACTCCTGTGTTCATTGCAGCATTATTCACAATAGCCACAATATGGGAAAAGTGTCCACCCAAGGGCAAATGGATGAAGAAGAGTTGTTATGAATATACAGTGGACTATTATTCAGCCACAAAAAAGAAGGAAGTCCCGCCATTTGCAACAACGTGGATGAAATTTGAGGGCATTATGCTAAATGAAATAAGGCAGAAAAAAATAACAAACACTGTGGTATCACCTTATATGTGGAATCTAAAAAAATAAAAAGTAAAACTCAAGGGAACAAAGAGTAGAAAAGTGGTTGTCAAGGGCTGAGGGGTGGCATGAAAACTTTGGCTATAAGATGAATAAGGTCCAAGGGTATAATTAATGTAAAACATGGTGACTATACTTAACACTGTTGTATGGTTGAAATTGGTTAAGGTAGTGGTATTTGAATGTCTGACAAAAGAAAAGAAAGAAAAAAGGAAGTAAGGAAGGAAAGGAGGGAGGGAGGAAGGAAGGAAGGAAGGAAAAGGAAAGGAAGGAAGGAAAGGAGGGAGGGAAGGAAGGAAGGAAAGAAAGAAAGGAGGGAGGGAGGGAAAGAAAGAAAGGGAAGAAGGGAGAGAGAGAGAGAGTAAAAGAGGAAAGGAAGGAAGGAAGGGAAGAAGGAAAAGAAAAATAGATATGTGAGGTGATGGATATGTTGATTGGTCGGACTGGGGTAATCTTTTCATAATGTATGCTTGTGTCAGATCACCATAACTGTACACTTAAATATCCTATAATTTTATTTGTCAATTACATCTCAATAAAGTAGAAA